GTTTTCTTTGCATGAAAATGAAGCAATGCTATTGTTGGGAACATGGTAACGAGAAAAAAAACGAATAAATTAGTTAAATGAAAAGCGTTATATACCGTGGGGATTAAAAGTGCCGGGTTAAACCTTATCAAAATTCTAAGTGAGCATTGATATTCATGCTAGGGAGTCGCTTTACAATCGACTAGATAAGGATCTGGAAAACAAATTTAAAATTCTACGATGTATCTTTCTCTACCTGTTATGGTGCACAACTATCATTGTCATTCGAGAGTATTCCTCCTCCAGCACGATTTTCCATACGGCGACTTACATGGGATACGGACTTTTCGGGCCAAATGATAGGTTGGAAGCTTTGGTACTCTTTGTTCTTTACTAGACGTGTTATTGGTGTCCTAGGTACATATTGCCTGTCAGACGTTATCATTGCATCAAAGTCCTGTGGATGAGAACTCCCAAGAACGCGAAAATAGGAGTTAGCCTTAAATCTACATATTGCTTTTAGACACAGGGTATGATTTGAAATTAAAAAAACTGCATGGCAGGCACTGACTTTTAAAAATTTGTAAAGTAACTAATTTTGAAGATAAACTTGACCTTAGCAAGACTCGCCGAGACCTAACTGAAATAAGACAATTCAAATTTTGGTAAAAGTTTGAACCTGATTTTGAATTATCTAAAAACTTTCAAAAGCCCTTGTTTTCCATTTTCTTTCCTTCCTGGCATCTCTTGACCCAAGAGAAATGAAGCTAGCCATGAAGATTTCTAAATTTGTTTTCCTCGTCCGGCTTGGCAACTAAATCGACTGAGTCAGCTTACATCAATAACTTATTAACAGTTTGGGCAGCAGTAGATTCAGACCTTATAAAAAGGGAAAAACGTTTATAAATCATATCAAAATCATGATAATTGTAACTTTTAACATGAGTAAGCTTTGCAGGTTAAGTGAATGGTATGATGAAATGAAAGTGAAAAGATTCTCTTTATCGTGCAGCAGTTACCGGTCCCTCTCTAGATTCTTATAAATGTTTTCCAAATTCAACTTTATAAGATGCTAAGAGTAGAGAAATTAATAAAAAAATTTGAAATTTTATCTTAAATTTCAAACTATTAACATTCCAACACGTTATAAGATGGTTTATATAACATTTTGGCTTTTACGTCTCCCAAAGTGACTTCATTCCCCAGTTTTATAACATTCCTGCCGGAATAAAATAAGATTGGGTGTATTCATTCATATTTGACATTTACATCATATATTTCATTACTCTAGAGCCAAAAATTGAATAGCCAAACATTGTGATAAAGTTAGACTGCCACAATGTTTAGTCTTGTAATAAACAGTGGTCTGCCACTTCGAAAATCGCTAAAGGCGAAGATAAGAAAACACTGCGTCCATGAAATGGTCATACCAATGAATGGGATCTAATAGCGCATATAGTGTGGATAAATCTGTTCGCAAAGAACTATTTAATCGTTCGATATTGTTTGTATGAAAACGAAATCGTGTGCAGAGGGCAGAAAGATTACCTTTTAAGGCGAAAAAAAAATCGCGTCCATGAAATAGTAATACCAATGAAAGGGATATCATGGCGTATACAGAGTGGGTAAATCCGTTTGTCTTGAGCCATTAAACCGTTCAGGATTGGTTGTATGAAGCCGAATTCACGCGCAGAAGGCAGAAAGATTACCTTTTATCAGCATGAGTGACATTCTAATTGATTACAGAAGCCATTATAAGACCTTGCAGAATTTGGATTTACATTACATTTGGATTTGATGGATGTAAAGCGTGATGGTCATAGTCTTGGCCTGAAATTAAAGATTGGTTTTTCCCCTTAAAAAGCTGTCTTATAATTTATATATAGGCCCTTTTAGTATTACAACAGAAACATAATTACCTTAAATGAATGAGAAAAAGAATAAGCTCAGTATTAATGATTGGTGGATATATGAAAATCATGTATGTGAAATGCGTAATGAGAAATGAATATGAAAGCTATCTTCGCAGAAATGAACACTACTTACAGTGCAGTGCTTTACCAACCGAGCTAACTAGCCTGAAGGCTGACTTATTTTTCACTGCTGCTTGAGTAGTGTTCATTACCGCCAAGATTTTTCTTTCATATTCATTTCTTAATCTGCGGTTCACATGTATGATTTTCGTTTGCTAAACAAAAGGTCTCACCGATTCTTTTACATTTGCATTTGCTGCTGGAAAATCCACACTCAGTCTTTAGGCCACAACTGTTCCCATTACAGTACTGACATATAGAGTTACAACTGAA